AAGAAGAGCTCTGTGTAGCTCAAAAGTTTGTCTCTCTCACCAACAGAAGTTGATCCAATAAAGGTTACCTCACCCACCTTGTCTCACTAACATCCTGGGACCAATATGGCTACACCACCACTACATACATCTGGTGAACTGTGTCTATTTCAAACTTCTAAGGTAGCAAAACCAGGAAAATGTATCAGAGGGGTAGCCGTGTTAGTCTGAATCTATAAAAAGCAACAGAGGGTCCTGTGGCACCTTTAAGACTAACAGAAGTATTGGGAGCATAAGCTTTTGTGGGTAAGAACCGCATCTGAAGAAGTGAGGTTCTTACCCACGAAAGCTTATGCTCCCAATACGTCTGTTAGTCTTAAAGGTGCCACAGGACCCTCTGTTGCTTCTTTTACTCTGTTGTTTAGCCACGGTGGCACTTTTTTGGTTCTCTTACTATGTTTTTTTAATTTGGGGTATATATTTAAGTTGAGCCTCTATTCTGGTATCTTTAAAAGGTTTCCATGCAGCTTGCAGGGATTTCACGTTTGGCACTGTACCTTTTAATTTCTCTTTAACTAACCTCATTTTCGTGTAGTTCCCCTTTCTGAAATTAAATGCTACAGTGTTGGGCTGCTGTGGTGTTTTCCCTGCCACAGGGATGTTAAATTTAATTATATTTTGGTCACTATTACCAAGTGGTCCAGCTATATTCACCTTTTGGACCAGATCCTGTGCGGCACTTAGGACTAAATCAAGAATTACTTCTCCTTATGTGGGTTCCAGGACCAGCTGCTCTAAGAAGCAGTCATTTAAGGTGTCAAGAAACTTTATCTCTGCATCCCATCCTGAGGTAACATGTACCCAGTCAATATGGGGATAGTTGAAATCCCTCATTATTATTGATTTTTTTTTTATAGCCTCTCCAATCTCCCTGATCATTTCACAATCACTATCATCATCCTGGGACGGTGGTTGGTAATATATCCCTACTGCTATATTCTTATTATTAGATCATGGAATTACTATCCATAGAGATTCTACGTACAGTTTAGTTCATTTAAGATTTTTACATCATTTGATTCTATGCTTTCTTTCACATATAGTGCCACTCCAACAGCATGACCTGTTCTCTCCTTCCAATATACAGGGGTCTCTCCTTCCAATATACAATGTACCCTGATATTACTATGTCCCATTGATTATCCTCATTCCTCCAAGTTTCTGTGATGCCTATTATATCAATATCCTCATTTCATACACTATACACTCAAGGACAATAAGGCCATTGCAGAGAAACTAAATGAATTCTTTCCATCTGTCTTTACGGCTGAGGATCTAAGTTCCCCGTAAGCTGCAAGGCAGCACAGCAGCCTTCCTAGCACTGCACAGGCACTCAGGGAACCTGCCCTTCCCCCAGCCCCAACCTAGCCCAGCTCCCAACCTGCCACACCTGGGGCACCCCTACCCCGGCCTGAACCCAGCCACAGCCGGGGTGGCCTAGCCCACCCCAACCCTGACCTGGCCGCGGCTGCCCAGTACCAGTGCTCAGACAGGCTAGAGCCCTCCAATGCCAGGCGGGGCTTAGCAGGGCTCCAAGGCAGAGCCCTTCTGTGGGGCTGCTCCCATGTAGTCAAGTGCCATAGGCTCAGTGGCACAGGATCGGGCTCTTTCTGACGGGGGGGGGGGGTGTGTGGAAGGGAGGCTATGGCAGCTTATCTGTCCTATGCACTACGCTACAGACTGGGGCAATCAGCTCCTAGTGCCCTGGCTCCCCACCCTGCTGGGGAACGATGGGTCTCTGCTGGCCTTTCATTTGCCCTGGGACCCCTTGGCTAGCTGGGAGCTGGTGGAGAGCAGAGGCAGCAGGAGGCTGTGGGCTTGGAGCTGGGCCTGCCTGGCTGCCGAGAGCAGCCATCCCATTTCACAGAGCCCCGTTCGCCCTGATTCGGGGCCCACCAGTGACAGCTCCCAATTGCCAGCCAAGGAGGGCACCGTGCGGCTGGGCTCCAGAGGAAGTGCAGCAGGTCACTGGTGGGGGACACACAGAGCGAGCCGAGGAGGTCAGCTCCTTGGGAAGAGCCAGAGCACGGATCCCAGCTGGAAGGGGCCCTGGCCTGTCGCTGCTGATCACTGGCTCATATGCACAAACGATCGACACCAGCTGAGGCCCCTCCCCCAGCCTGAACCCAGCCCCGGCCCAGACCTGCTAGGGAAAGCGCCTATCCTGCGCTCCAGCCCCAGAGCTGCTTGAGGGGTGGGAGAAGAGAACCGAACCTCTCCCCTTCCTGTAGCCCCAGAGCACCCTTCTGAACCCCGGACCCACCCCAGAGCCCTTACCCCCTGCCCCCAACCTTCTGCCCCAGGCCTGAGCCCATCTGTGGCCCCACCCCCATCTGGAGCCCTCACACCCCTGCACCTCAACCCTCAACTCCTCATCACCAGCCCCCACCTCACAGCCTACACTCCCAGCCAGAGCCCTCATACCCCTGCACACCAATCCTCTACCCCAGCCCTGAGCCCCCTCCCACACTTCTAACCCCTTGGCCCCACCCTCATGAATTTTGTTATATGCACCAATATGGAGGTGATGTCTCACATATCACCTCCATATCATTGCACATAACAAAATTCATTCCACACATGGGTGGGAAAATTTAGAGGGAACACTGCTGAGGATGTGAGGGAAATTCCCAAACCTGAGCAATTCTTTTTAGGTGACAAATCTGAGGAACTGTTCCAGATTGAGGTGTCATTAGAGGAGGTTTTGGAACAAATTGATAAACTAAACAGTAGTAAGTCACCAGGTCCAGATGATATTCACCCAAGAGTTCTGAAGGAACTCAAATGTGAAATTGCAGAACTACTAACTGTAGTTCATAACCTATCATTTAAATCAGCTTCTGTACCAAATGACTGGGGGACAGCAAATCTGATGCCAATTTTTAAAAAGGGCTCCAGAGGTGATCCTGGCAATTACAGCTCAGTACGCCTGACTTCAGTACCGGGCAAACTGGCTGAAATGATAGTAAAGAACAAAATTGTCAGACTCAGAGGAACATAATTTGTTGGGAAAAAGTCGTAATGGTTTTTGTAAAGGGAAATCATGCCTTCCCAATCTACTAGAATTCTGATGGGGGTCAACAAGCATGTGGACAAGGGGGATCCAGTGGATATAGTGTACTTAGATTTTTCAGAAAGTCTTTCACAAGGTCCCTCACCAAAAAGGCTCTTAAGTAAGATGTCATGGGATAAGAGGGAAGATCGTCTCACGAATTGGTAACTGGTTAAAAGACAGGAAACAAAGGGTAGGAATAAAGGGTCAGTTTTCAGAATGGAGAGAGGTAAATACTAGTGTCCCCCAGGGGTCTGTACTGGGAATATTCAACAGTCATAAATGATCTGGAAAAAGGGGTAAACAGTGAGGTGGCAAAATTTGCAGATGATACAAAACTACTCAAGATAGTTAGATCCCAGGCAGACTACAAAGAGCTACAAAAGGATCTCTCAAAACTGGGCGACTGGGCAAGAAAAATGGCAGATGAAATTCAATGTTGATAAATGCAAAGCCTCTATTTGCCAGGGGCTCAGAGTGGGTGATAAGGAATGGATCACTTGATGATTACCTGTTCTGTTCATTCCCTCTGGGGCACCTGGCATTGGCCACTATTGGAAGACAAGATACTGGGCTAGATGGACCTTTGGTCTGACCCAGTGCGGACGTTTATATGTTCATACAAACATAGGACTGGAAGAGACCTCGAGATGTCATCTAGTCCAGTCCCCTGCACTCATGACAGGACTAAGTATTATCTAGACCATGAGATGATCACAGTTGAGGTATTTTTGATGAGTCGGACTGGAGGATCTTGCATGCCAGTGCCCATACTGTATCTGAGTAGTGGATAAACAGAGCCTTCAGTCTCCAGGACTGTCAGTCCAGTAGCTTTCACCAACACTAAATAACACATACATACAAAATGAAACAGGTGCACAGAAGAGAAAGAAAATCTTTACTCAGCTACGAACTTTCTCCTTATAACAGTAAGTTAGTCTCCTTCTCTGCAGGCCCGGGTTGCCAAATCTTCCCTTTACACTTCCACAGATCCTCAGAACAAATTCATTTCTTCTTCCAAAATTTTCTGTAATCGTCCAAATTAAAATCATCCAACACTTCCTCCTGTTTGCTCTTAAGCCTTCTGGAATCGCGTTTCCGTAACCTCGCTCTTCTTTCGGCCTCGGAAAGAGTGTTAATGTCTACAGGCATCTGTGGAGGGGAACAAAAATTAATAATCAGTCAAAGGCATCTTATTCAAATACCTCAGTGTTCAAAAGGAGAGGAGTTTGCTGCAAAATAAAAATCCCAATAGAGGTTAATCAAATGGGAATCATTTTATTAATTACAATTCTCTTACTGATTGCTGGGGTTTCACTGGTTTGGGGGCAGATGCAGAAGTTATTCTGCATTCATCTGTTATCCCGAGGCTGTATGATGCAGTAGTGAAAGGTCATCAGAACACAAGCATCTAACCTTCCAACAAGGGTTGACTGGGCAATGGGAAAAGTACTGTGGTATGTAGAGGTAGCAGTTACTAACACTGTGCAAAATAATCTGAAAAAATAATGAATAAGTGGGAGGAGGAATTGGATTTCTTTTCAATTAGGAAGATTGCATTTTTAAGTGGATTTATTACTGGAGAAAAGTGTTGGGCAAACAGCTCTGTGAAATGTAGTCCTGTGCTTATCCACACTAGAGATACAGCACTGGCTACTTCTCACCCCACCAGCCATGGTGCATCAACCCTGACTTGGATGGACCACATCTAGGCATGCAATGATAATTCAATTGGACTCATTCAGTACTAGGCCAATAAGAACCATTTGTGGTGGTGGTGTTGGGTTTTGTGCTGTGGGCACCTACCCACTGGGAGCTGACCCAAGACCCAGTAAACTTGTATGTAAGATCCATCAGATGGCAATGACTTAGTTTTGGGACTTGTTTTGTGCTGGTGACCTAAAGGTGAAAGGCATTTTATCCTATTACTAATCCCCTGAACCATCCAGACTCTGACCCACCTGCTCTTGTATTCAAGTGACTTTCCAAGGAGTAAAGGGGTTTGGTTCCTGGAATCACCACATTCCCCCCCCAAAAGGGCCTGTATCTCAGAGACCTGTCTTTGGCCAGAGGAGGCTGAGATCAGCAGGAAGGAGGGGGGCAGGGGTTGCCTGAAAAATGCCCGGAGCATGAGGTGGCTTCTGAACTGTAACCACCCACAGGACGCAGACAGGGCATTCATTGCATTTCTAGGGTAGGGGAGATTTCAGCCCCATATTCTTATAAATGGGTGAGGGGAAAATAAAAAACTCTGAAGATTAGCCCCCTCCATCTTCAGTAATCCATCTGAAGGGAAGGGAGCACCCTTCATCATTCAGGCCACCACCTGGAGCAATGTTAACAGGCTCTAAAGGGAGATGCAGCCTGCCCTCGACAAGCAGGGATTAATGAATGTAACTTGGCACTCTCAGGGTGGAGGCGGCTGGGGAAGCAAACTAGGAAGAAATTGGGATAGAGCTGAACACAACTTTCCAAAAATCCAATGTGATTGCTAATTAGTACTACTTCTACAGCTTTACAAAGTATTTATGATGTAGGAACACTGGAACAGCCACCCCAACGGTATCGAATGATCCACCTAGCCTGATGTCCTGTTGAAGAGCTGACCATTAAAAATACTGGAGGCTCTACCTCCTTGGAGGAAGTTAATTGAGCCTCGTGTTTCAGGATATGGAGACAACTCTGCCCCTGGACAAATGGACAAGCGCATTTGGAGGTTTATCACCTTTCTCTACAGCATCAAAGTGGTCCATCCAGTCTAATATCCTGACCACCAATGATTTGATCCAATATGGCAAATCCTAGGTGTGCATCAGTGACTGATACAGGATGCTTCAGAGGAAGTTGTAACTCCATCCTTCTCATTAGGCAATATTGTGCAATACTCATATCTATTTGTGCAATACTCAATACATCCTCCATCCCAGCAATTCTATTAAAAAATAGATTTTGCTCAATATTTCTTACTGTAAGTATCCGCCTTGGCTCCTTATAGCGGATGTGAATAGTAGATCCATCAGGCCTGACCAAGAGCACTGGGTAGGACCTGCCGTATGTCTGCCTCTGAATGCGGGCGATGGACGTCCTGTTGGAGTTATATTGGCTGAGGGATGTATGCAGATGGCAAGCAATGGGTAGTAACCTGTGCATTGCATCCTGACGCAACAAACTAAAGGGAATTCAAACAGGCCAGGGTTAGTTATTCTTCCCCTCCATTCCACAGGCAGGCAGAGAAAAAGGTAGCCAAGTTCAGTAGACTAACATCAGGGCCAGCTCCAGCTTTTTTGCCGCCCCAAGCGGCGAAGAGAAAAAAAATAAATAAAAAAGATAAAGCCGCGATCAGCGGCTGCTCTACCGTGCCGCTTCATTCTTCGGCAGCAATTTGGCGGCCAGTCTTTCCCTCTGAGAGGGACTGAGGGACCCGCCGCCAAAGACCCGGATGTGCCGCCCCTTTCCATTGGCCACCCCAAGCACCTGCTTCCTGCGCTGGTGCCTGGAGCCAGCCCTGACTAACATACATGACTACGGTCTTACCAAATTCATGGTCCATTTTGGTCAATTACACAGCCAGAGGGTTTTAAAATCTGCCAGTTTCACTATTTCAGCTGTTTAGATCTGAAATTTCAAGGTATTTTAACCATGGGGTTCCCGACCCAAAAGATGATCGTGGGGTGCAGGGGGGAGAGTTGCTGTTGTAGGGGGGCCAGGGGATTGCCACCTTCACTTCTGTGATGCCTTCACAGCCGGGCAGCAGCCCTGGAGCTTCCTGCAGCAGGGAAAGAGGCTCCCAGAGTTGGACTGAGTGCCCCAGCTGGGAGCTCACCGAAATTCCCTTGGGAGCTGCCACATCTCTGAGGGTGAGATTATCTGTATTTAGTTTGATTAGACATAAATTTGCGCATTTTATTTTATTTTGCTTGGTGACTTACTTTGTTCTGTCTGTTACTACTTGGAACCACTTAAATCCTACTGTCTGTATTTAATAAAATCACTTTTTATTCATTAACTCAGAGTATTATTAATACCTGGGGGAGCAAACAGCTGTGCATATCTCTCTATCAGTGTTATAGAGGGCGAACAATTTATGAGTTTGCCCTGCATAAGCTTTATGCAGGGTAAAACGGATTTATCTGGGTTTAGACCCCATTGGGAGTTGGGCATCTGATGCTAGAGACAAACACATTTCGGTTTTCAGGTAAACTTGCAGCTTTGGGGCAAGTGATTCAGACCCTGGGTCTGTGTTAAAGCAGACGGGAGTGTCTGGCTCAGCAAGACAGGGTGCTGGAGTCCTGAGCTGGCAGGGAAAACAGGAGCAGAGGTAGTCTTTGCACATCAGGTGGCAGCTCCCAAGGGAATTTCGGTGATCCAACCCATCACAAACACTAGCTGCCTATTTAATTTTAAAAACAGCAAAAAATATCCACCTTCCTTTCCATTTCTTATAAGGAGTCTTGGAGTTTAAATCTCCTCAGTGTGATAGATGTGCTTGCTTTGATCTGCTTAGCTCTTGGAAGTCCAGGGGCTCCAGGCTGCTGGCCCTGTGCTGTCCGGGGTCCTTAGGGACAGCTCTGTCCGCCATTAGGGAACTCCCCCCCCCCCGAACCCCCCAGTTTGGGAACCATTGCACTAGGCTAATTTCTATCATGTGACTAGAGTTCACAGGGCCCTGGATCACCAATCTTCACTGAAAAGCAAAGTGGAAATAGTGTGAACAGCAAAAGTAGGAGGGTACAGACAGGCAAGGAAAATGGTTAGAGCCATGGAAAATCTTCCTCATTAAGAGGCAGTGTAAAGATCAGACTTTTTAGTTTAGAGAGAAGAGGAGCATGAGGGGACACAATAGAGGCACATGAGATCTGGTTTCATTGGTCCTGGAACTCTTAATTCAAGTGAACGATACCACTATGACATTCCCCAGAGTGCCATCTGGAGTGCTGTGTCCCCTTAGCTCTCCAGCCTGGCATGCCTTTTACACTGTTTTGCTGACGAACAGCAGCCCCTCCAGGCTCTCCTCACTCACAGCCACCAGCATGCAAAGTCACTCCCAGCTGAATACACGAATGCTGTGCCCAGCCATCCATGAATTACATACAGGAGGACCCCATGCATACCCCTCAGCCCCAACCTTGCTCCCCAGAAACGTGCATCTTATGCTGTTCAAGACCCTCCCCTGGACAGTATAAGCTCATAGATAGATAGGCTTCATTCCAACAATGGGTAATGAATATGCACTAGGCTTGTTGACCTAAGATTCTCAAGCACTTCAACCAAAACACACAGTTTAGATAAATCAATAAAACAAACAAGTTTATCTAGAGAAAGACAGATTTTAAGTGATGAGAAGTATAATTGAGTATAACTCAGGATTGGTTACAAAAGAAATAAAAAGATAAAACTACAAGCTAATTCCCAAATTTTACCAAGGCTAATAGCCTGAGCTGGAATACATTTCACAGGCTGCATCCCTTTCCAGCATGGGACCACTCCCCACCTTTGTTCAGTTCTTTGAGACTCATCATTGTCATGAGCAGAGAGATGGAAGGAGGAGAAAAATGGCTATGGATATTTTTCATCCCTTCCTATACCCCAATCCCTTGCTGGGTCATGGGGTCAGGCAGTTCCATTGCCTACATGAGCTCCAAACTGCCCTTCAGATGAATTGTAAATTTCTTGTTTACAACTCCCGCCCTGCTGGAGAAGGTCTGATTGAGCCGGTAATGGCTCTTTAGCCCTTTGCTGATGTGTCTCTGAGAAATTGGTTTGTGGGTGTTACCAAGAACTACAAGCTTCAGTAACAATCATATAGTAAAATCTCAATTTTACATGCAGTGTTGTTACACACATTCCTGGGGGAATTCTGTGCCAAAAAATTAAAAATCCTGCATATAACATTTTAAAATTCGGCAAATTTTATTTGTCAAAACAACACTACATAATCACACCACTTTCAATTATTTTGGTAATTTATTTTAAAATACCTGTCAACAGGTATGTCTGTAACAATACAGACACACAAAAATTCCCCCAGGAGTTAAAAAAACCCCTATGACAACCTAGTTCCTCTCCCACTCCGCAGAACCCACAACCCTTCCCGAGTCCAGCCACGGTGCTCTTCCAACCAATATACCTGAATCCCTCCCCCACCAGAGCCCAGCCATGGGGGCCTCCCTAGCCCAGATACCCACATCCCCTCCACTCCAGAGCCTAGGCGTGGCCCCACCAACCACACCCACCCCCCTACTGCCCAGGGATCCAGAAAGAGAAACAGCCTGTTGCTGGGTCCCAGCCAGGCTTGTGTGGAGTTTCCTGCGTGCCATTATCTCCTTCCCTCAGGGCGTATAGGGAACTACAGCTGCTAGGAACTCTCTACTCCAGGGGTGGGAAACTTTTTGGGCTGAGGGCCACATCTGGGTGGGGAAATTGTATGCAGGGCCACGGCAGAGGGTTGGGGTACAAGAGGGAGTGCGTCATGTAGGAGGGGGTGCAGTGTGCAGGAAGGGGCTCAGGGCAAGGGATTGGGGCAGAGGAGGGGTGCGGACTGCAGGAGAGGGCTCAGGGCAGGGGGTTGGAGTGCAGGAGGGATGCAAGGTGCAAGCAGGGGGCTTAGGGCAGGGTGTTGGGGGGGTGGAGTACAGGAGGGGTTCTGTTCCGGCCTGGCGCCGCTTACCTCAAGCGGCGCCGGGGTGGCAGCGGCGTACACCGGGGCCAGGGCAGGCTCCCTGCACCGCTCCCGGAAGCGCTGCGGCCCCTGGGGGCCCTCTGCGTGCACTGCCCTTGCCGCGCCTCCAGGTACCTCCCCCGAAGCTCCCATTGGCTGCAGTTCCCCATTCCCGGCCAATGGGAGCTGCAGGGGGCAGTGCCTGGAGCAAGGGCAACGCATGGAGCCCTCAGCCCCCCTGCCCAGGGGCCGCAGGGATATGGTGCCAGTGGTGCCACGGGCCGGATCCAAAGCCCCAAGGGGCTGGATCCAGCCCGCGGGCCGTAGTTTGCCCTCCCCTGCTCCACTCTCTCCCCTGGCCCAGTGTCTTCTATGTGCAAGCTGGGCTCTGCCAGATCCAGTGGCCCATAGTGGCGGCCAGCAGCACTGCAATCCATTTCTGTGGGGGAAAGGAAATTATGTGCAAAAAACATTAATTTCTGCAAAATTCTGCATTGCGCAATCTCACAGAATTCCTCCAGGAGTAACATTTCTACGTGATGATAATATTCAGCGGATTATGAGTTTTCAAATGATAACTCACAAGGCATACTTTGTACAAAATATAACAAAATGGTGAACATGGGGTACAGGGTGTCACAGTGACTGACTTCACTGGGGCAATCTGGGCAATGAGGGCTGCAGGATCAGATCCTGTCATAATGAGAATAACTACAAACTTTATTCTTAGTCATAAAGGGTCTGATCTTTTGAGGTACTGACTACCTATTGCAAGGAGGTGAGTGCTGTCAACTCCCACTGAAGAGAATGCCAGATTGCCCATTTATTCCATCAAAATTAACACACCATGACCAACATCAGCCAGCCCTTTAGCCAAGTCACAGTATTTGATATGTGAAGCTTACCCCAGAGTCCTGCTTACTGCTGCCATCCCGCTCTTAGGTAGAACCACAAAAGTCCAAGGAACTAGTTCAACAAGGGCTTTGTCTGCAATACTGGATTTAATCGCTGCATGAAACTATTCCATAAAGTTCTTCAAGGTAAGTGATCCACCTGTTACACCACAGCTCTGCACCATACAAGTTCTTCTCTTTGTAGGTAACCTAATGACCAAATGGACCGAAAAGAGACGGATCAAGCAAAGCAGCCTTTTCTTGCTACTTTAATCAAATCTCTTCTGAAACTGCCCATTTTTTTTAAAAAAACTTGCAATTCTGAGGTACCTCATTAGCATTTTGGAAAGTGCTTTAAAATAAAAAGTTAGTGTAAAGGAAGATTCTGAGAACTGATGATTTCACCTTCTTTCTCTGCAAAATTATAGCGTATGGCTGCTCAAATCAAGCCAATCTGTGCTCTGCATTCTTTGATCTTTCCAGGTAACAATGGTGCAACTTTCATTAAAGCAGAAACAGAAGATAAGGCAGATATCCAATGTATGACATTTAATTTTCTGTAGCAACATTTCTCATAGCAATTAGCAAGTTCACTTAATTCTTCATCAGATTTTATTATTAAGCCTTAGGAAAATAAGCTAATTTCCAAACACACGTCATCTGGAAACTGGCTAATTTCTAGAAGCCACTGGAGTTGCTGCACCAAAGGAGAAGAGCTGTTTTCTAATGGCTGACAGATGGGTCACCTTGGGACTCTGCAATGGAGAAACCCATCTGGCTCTGCCTCTCTGCTCTCAAAAATCTCCCTCTCCTCCTCTGACCCTGCTCTCCTGCTATGATGGTGGTTCACAACTCCTCCCATACGCCAAGAACCAGTACAGAGCTCAGAGCTCTGTGTGGCAACGCAATAATGGCAGCTGAGAGGAGAGAATGAACGGCAGGAGGAAATTGCTTTGGCAGGGAGGGATCATTGGTGGTGGAGGGAATCGCGTGCCTGGTGAAGGGAAAAGGAGAGGTACCCAAAACATGTACTCTTCAGTATCCCAAGGGTTAACACCTGCTCCATATTTCAGTCTAACTGCACCTGCAGGGTTAGTGATGATCCTGTTGTACAACATCAGGTCTGTCATGTGGGGTTACAGGTGTAATCACAGGAGGGGAGCAGCAGAGCCAGCACACATTTCAGACAGCTGGCTACACCCCTGAATGCATAGGGTAGGCTGTAGTGTGGCCCCAAACACCTCATACATTGATATCGACCCTCACATAGGAAGAAGTTATTTTCCCCCCTTTACTACAGTGGGCCAAATTTGTCCCTGGTTGAACTCTTTAATGGGGCGACACCAGGAATGAATTTGGCCCAATATTTTCCACATATAAAATCTTTTGGCCATTCTGGTTACAGTATCAAGGGTGCTGTGTGAATTTTAGACACAAATTAACCAAAACCTGGCCATATTGCAAGCTGGGATCTCTGGGTAGGAGCCTCCTTCCTATAACCTTCCGTGACTAGTCTGTGTAGCAGGGTCATGACTAAGCTCACACGCAACAACTTAAGACTGCAATAGCTTTTCCACTTGTCTGACTCTAAAAGCTCCCTAATGCTCCCATGTAATGGATTTATAGCCTGCCCCTGCCTTCCCTGACCCCGCTGTGCACGTAGCACACACATGCTAAACACATTACTATGTGTTATTTGTGTTGTGGCAACACCTGAAGGTTTCAAACAGGATCAAGCCCTATCACAATAGGGTGTTGTACAAACACCTATCCAATTAGAAGCCCCCAGCACAGGATGGATCAGATGTTATCTTGCATTTGCAAGGACAGATTAATTGATTGAGGTATTATAACTAGAACTCGTATGATCCTAAAGCATCCCAACAGTGGGAAACTAGGAAAATAAAACCTACAAGGGCTGAGAAAAAGAAGTAGGGTGAAGCAGGGACAGAGTGATAGGCAGGGTGACAGGCTGGTGTAGCAGGGCAATAGGCAGTGACAAGAACAGGGTGACAGGCAGTTATAGGGGCAGCCAGAGCAGGGTGACAGAGATGTGAGGGAGGGCCATGAGGATAACAGGTGCCCCAGGGGGCATGGCAGGAGAGGGGATGCGGGAGGCAGGTCACCCACGGAACATGGGGGCAATAGGGCCAGGGTCATGGAGGTAGCAGGATTATGGTGCACAGAGAGAGCTAAGGCAGCAAGTGCAGGGGCTGTAAAGCCATGGGTACAGAGAGAGCTGAATGAAGTAGCAGGCATGGGGGTCATCGAGTCCTGGGATGTGTGTGTGGGGGGGGGAGGGGCAGGCCATGGGGCATAGAGGAGGCTGAGGTAGCCAAGCACAAAGGGGGGGGCAAGCCATGGACCACAGGATGGGCTGAGGTAGCTGCATGCTGAAGCGAGCTGAAGTAATAGGTGCAAAGGGCATAGGGCCCTGTGGCACAGGGGGTGAGGTAGCGGGGGGAGGACGGGGGCGGACAGACCATGGAGCACAGAGGGGGCTGAGGCTCTGCACGATGGGGGGGGAGGAGGAGGGAACAGGCCGTGGGGCACAGAGGGGGCTGAGGTACTGCACGATGGGGGGGGAGGAGGAGGGAACAGGCCGTGGGGCACAGAGG